GTAACTTGCAATAACACCCAAGAAACTTGTTTAATTTAACAAAGTTCTTGTAAAATTTCAAATCAAGTCAGCTTCGCGAAGACGGCTTTCGTTACCCTTCGTCATTGATTGTTTTGAGCTCAAACTGAAAAGTCGGCAGTGCTTTATTGTGATTTTTTATTTCTTTGGTGATTTTTTAATTAAAATAGGAGTTAAAGCGGGTAAGTTAACACATACGGATATTTTAAATCAGACGATTGTCATGATACATTTGCCATCTCATCACTTTTTAAGGCGAAAACGATATTCTGCAGAAGTGCGAATATTATAAATCAAAATCATAATAATATTATTAATATTACAATTTTATTATAATTTATTAGGAATATATTTAAATATTTAAAGAAACAGAAAACAGATTTGTAATCAAAATGTTTTGCTTTATTTGTAAAAAGAATTTTTCAACCGTTAACGTTTTGATAAGTCATCTTAAAATAATTCACTGTATTAATAAAAGTCAATACATCTGCCCCTATAGCTTTTGTAAACAATCATTCGTAAATATGTATCGTTATAAAAGGCATTTAAATAATCATTTGTTAAGAAATAACTTAAATTGTTCCCCAGTAAATGAAGAGATTGCCAATATGGAAATAGAAACCACTCCAGTAATCGAAAATAAGTCTTCCTTAGAAGTTCAACTCACGAAATTTGAAAACAATTGTGAACAAGAAAATAGGGTACTATCTGAAGAAGATCTAAAACAAGAGTTAAAAAAAGGGTTTGTGAATTCACATTATCATTGCACAATAATAACAATTTCACATTTTTTTATTAAATTTTTTGTTATTATTAATTTTATTAAATTCAGAAGAAGGAAAAGCAATTTTAAAACTGTATGGCGAAACTAAAATGCTGTTGCCGCAAGCTAGAACATATATTGTTCATTATGTTATTGAATCAATTATAGAGCATGGCGATAAACTCACGGTAAAGAAATGCGAAGATCTAGCGGAACAAATAACATCTTTATTTCCTACAGAATGCCGCGTAAGTTTACATGTTGCTCTAACGCCGAATCCTGAATAAGTACTTTTTTAATAATTTTAATTTTTGAATTAAAGGATACATATTTCTCACAAAACTAACAAAAAATTGGCACCAAAAGGCAAACTTTGGGACAGGTATCAAGGACGAAAACGGTACGTGGCAAAACTTAATCAGAATTCGAAGCGCCTGAAACTGCATAATCGCAACCCTGATCACACGAGCAATATGATGACAACTACTGGCAATGAGAATATGATCAAATATGTGCTGATCTCAAACATATCAGGGATTGGGATACTGTACTAACGAAATGGAAGCAAACAATTTCGTATAGAAAAAATCGTTTGTTCAACTTAGATTTGACGTTGCATCAAATTTTAGATGAGTGGCCGCTGTACAAATACTCCAAGGCTCCTGAATTGGTATGTTTATATGTGAGATATACGGATGGGTAGATTCGATATTCGAAGCTTCGAGATTCGAATTTTAATCGAATTTTAGCTCCAAAATGGCGAATTTTTGAAATTCGGATAAAATTGAATTTAAAAAAGAATATCGAATTTCAACCTCCCACCACCTATCCCCAGTCAGATAAGTAAATTTAAAATATGTTATAATAATATTCTACAAACATTTATTTGAAGGTTGACATTGACTATAATGACAGTTTCCCGGGAAATGGGCTAAATTTTTCAAATTGGAATCATTTGTGTACAATCGCTTCGGATCTGTTTGAGCAAAGGATAAAAGATCCACAAACCAAGCAGCTTAAAAGCCGGGTATTCGGAAAGAAAGACGTATTAAATATAGGTAAATAAAAGTTTAAAATCTTCACTAAAATCAATGAAATAATTAAATATTTATATTTGTTAGACAATTTCAACATATATATTATGATGTTGTTGCATGCGGTTTTATTGCCTACTGCAAAAAATTTACATGGGCGTCACAAAAAATATACAATATCGAATTCACAAAATGCCTTCACAGTCTCAGTAAACCAATCTAGTGAAGTGGATCAAGCGATTGCAGAAAAGAGGAAACAGTGCCTAGAAGATAATTCAACCCTGCAAACGTTCGTCATTGTTGTGGGTGACGAATTTAATTTTAAGAATTTTTATGTCACATTAGACGGAATTAAATATTCATTTCATTCTTATATGGAGGCTATACAATATTGTTATAAATTAATGTTTGTGCTAAATTTAAAATATCCAGACGAATGTACGAATGTATGGATATTCGTGCAAAAATATTTGTTCAACATGAAAACGGATTCCACTGTCCCAGTAATTTATACATTGATAAACGACATTAATAACTGGACAAGCTCAAAATAGGTTAAGTGCTAAGACATACACTTTTGATCCGTTGATTAAGTCATCAACATTTTGATCAATTTTGGCTATTTTTCTTTTGTTTATTTAATGTATATTATTTTTCCATAAAAGTCGGGCTCATTATAAAACAAACACCAAATAACTCCACAATTCAAACTTTGAGCAAAAATTATAAAAAATCTGCAAAGTTTCAGCTAGATATTCAACTTTTTATTCAGATTCTCTAGAATTTTTGTGATTACGTAGTTTAATAGCCCATTAGATTCTAGGGTAATAATGTGCAAGTTTCAAGTTGCTAAAAAATCGGGCTGATTTTTAATAATTTTTTTTTTTCTGACTACATTACAAATTGTTTTGCATAAAAAATATATTCGAAAATTTTTTTTGTATGGAAAAAAATGTGTAATGCAGTAAAAAAAAGTATTAAAAATCAACGCGATTTTTTAGCAGCTTAAAACTTGCACATTGTTACTCTAGAATTTAATGGGCTATTAAACTACATACTCACAAAAATCTGAATAAAAAGTTGAAAATCCAGCTGAAATTTTGCAGATTTCTTATAATTTTTGCACAAAGTTCGAATTGTGGATTTATATGGTGTTTGTTATATATATGAGCTCAACTTTTATTAAAAAATAATAAACATTAAATAAACAAAAGAAAAATAGATAAAATGGATCAAAATGTGGTTGATTTAATCAGCTGATCACAAGTGTATGTAAATATGTACACATACTTTAAATGTATTACAAATGAAACAGAAGTAATTAATTTAATAAATTGTTTCTATAAAAGGCTAAAATAATTTCATTACTAAGGCTGTGAGTGGGGAGGCGTAAGTTGTTACTAAATATCAAAATAGTAAAAAAGGACCGAGAATTCAGTTAATAGGAACAATTTAGAGCTTTGTTAACCATACTTTTTATATCTCAATTTAAATAACAAAAATAATAAAGGGACTGCTCCCTTTTATGTATTATTTTTGTTGCTTAAATTGTGGTAAAAAAAAGTGTTGTTGACAAAAATCTAAATTGTTCCTATTCACTGCATTATCGACATTTTTCAGGGAAAACTTTTGCAAATCACCAAAGAAATTTGGTTAAATATTACCTAAGTTATCTAAGGTAAAATAACAAGGAAGCTTTTGCAATCTACCAAAGCGATTTGTTTGAATATTACACAAGTTATATAATGTAAAATAGCCAGGTATTTATGCAAACTAGCGGAGTGTTTTGGTTGAATATTATCTAAGTTATATGGCGTGAAATAACCAAGAAACTTTTGCAAATAACCAAAGAGCTTTCGCCAAGGATTAACTTAGCCGACTTAGGTAAAATACATGCTACTTTGTTAAACTTGCCCAAGAAGAAAGCTTACAAAGATTTTACTGAGTTATTTTGGTTACGATAACAAAAAAACTTAGTAGGGTCATTTAGCCTAAGTTTTAAGTTGCGCTATACCCGAATTTAAGTTAATTTTACATAAGTTTTTCTCTGTGTGTACATATGTATAAAGTGTAGTAGGTCAGCCTTTGGCTGTTTTCCAAAACGAGTCAGTTCAACAAGTTGTAAATTGGAATTTCATGGTTGTGCGCTTAAAAACTGATATGTTTTGTACGATTATGCGATACCTTTATATGTGCATATATTTTCAAATTTAGGACTGGTGAATGCGGTCATTCTGGAAGCCATAGTTTACAAAGTGTAGTGCACAGTTCAACAACAGTGATTGGGTTTGCTACTTCATAGCAGCAGTGGAAATGGAAACATTGCTCTGCTATTGCTACTTCTCTACTTGAATGGATAAGAAGCACGGCCAGAATCGGAAAACACACGAGGACCTTTCTTGTTTTACTTGGTTCTATGTTTCGTTGAGGCACAGATCAGGTAGGAGAACTAAAATATGAACGAAGTGATATTTGTAGTCAGAGTAATAGCACATACAACAATATTATGATAGCCTCAACGAAACATAGCACTAATTAAAACAAGAAAGGCCTTCTTGTGTTTCCCGATTCTGACACTGCTTCTCATCTATTCAAGTAGAGAAGTTGCAATAGCAGATCCACGTTTCCGTGCCACTGCTGCTATGAAGTAGTGAACTCAACCACTGGTAGTTGTCATAATTCGCAGTAGTAACAGTTTAACATGAAGGTAGAATTTTTATTTTTGGATTCCTGATACGAATAAGTTTATTTTAGTTCCGATTCTGCATACTCTTTTTTTTTCCTTCTCTTGAAGCAATGGATTTGTCACCACTGTTCCTGGGAGATACCGAAGCGCTCTCTCCACCACGCACGAGCAACACAGGTATTTCGAAAATATACATACATATACATTTACAATATGTTTAATAGTTTTTAATCAAACATTCCTGCGCTTTCAGATGTAGTCCTACATAGAAAGCGCTTTCATGTGGCACTGCCTTACGAGGAGCGCTTTGTCTCCCAGCCAACAGTAACCACCAACACGGGTGTAGCCACTACAACAACAACAAGCAACACAGGTCAACAATTTACCTTGTCTCACCTGCTGGAGAGGCAAAAAGAAATGTTTGATGGCGTCATGGCCGCCATTGGAAGAGTTGAGTCAAAGGTGGACGGAATAGCAAATGCTCTGGCCGAAAAGGTTATATCAATGTACATATTTATTAATGCTAAAATTATTGTTTAATAATTTATTTTTTTTTTTCAGATGCCCGAACGCGCGGAAGTTCAAGGTCAAGGGCAGCTACTGCGAGAGTGCAAAGTGGTGACCTCGAAAGTTCACCAAAGTATTTCCCGAATCACTGGAGATGCTATTAGTAAAGAGCATACTTTGCTTCAAAGTATGCTTCCACTATCATCCCAGGAAAAGTTAAATACTTTGGAGAATCTTTTGGGAAACAAACCACACTCCGATGCGATGGTAATTTTTGCTAATTTGTTTTATTGTTTTTTATACACATATACAAATGTATGTATATATCATATTAGTTGTATATATGCATTTTATTTTACTCATATTAATTTTTATTCGTATATACATATGTATGCAATTTTTTTTTATTAAAATTTGGTTTATAGTATGTATAACAAAAATCGTAAAAACCAAAGTTCCAAACTTTGTACAAATAATAGGAAAATTCGATAAAATTTAATTTAATTTTCATGCACTTTTCCAGCTTTTTGATACGAATTTTAAAAATGTTTTGAGTGTGCAATTCTGTAGCCCACTGATTTTTAGTATAATAATATGCAAGTTTGAAATTTTCACAAATGCGATTTTTTTTGTGAACGGATTGGCTTACTTTCTCCCATACAAAAATAAACTCAATCACACAAAAGAAAATCTAAAAAATGCCGCAAATTTGTAGAAACTTTAAACTTAAATCTTATTATAATAAAATTCAGTGGACTATAAAATTCGTATCAAAAGGCGGGAAATGGGCATGAAAATTTATGGAAATGGTTTGTATGATTTTTGTTGTACTATGAGCCACTTAACTCTATCTTTCAAGAACACGCAAAACAGCATATGTCAACAAAACATATTTTACCGTCAAAGAGAACTATATTATAATTAAAAAACAAAATACATATTTAGCTTGTTCCCGTACTCTAGGATTTGCATGTTTTACAGGAACAGCTGTTTTTGCCTTTGATAAACCTTATGTGAATGTGGCGTATGGGAACAACTTTGGACTAAATCCTGCAAATCGTAGACGATCTGGAACGCTCTAATTATATAATTACTTTTTCGCTGTTCACAAACTTTTGAAAAATTTGTTTTCAACAACTAAATATTTTCTTTTAAATAACAGTTTTTGCTGTGACTTACCGCTCTGTAAACATATGATATTTTGCTTGTCTGTGAAAGATTTTGACGATTTTTAGTTAAAGATGCAGTTTTACTATTTTAAATAAGATCTTTCGATTGGTGTTAATTTATATTTCGTTTATGTAGTCATATATTATATTTTATTATTTACATTTATATTTATAATTGCATTTATGTACATATCTAGTATTTATAAATTTTATAATCTTTTCCAGCTGAACATAATTTTAAAATTGAAGGGTGCTAAGGGTTGTGTGAAACACGTGTTGAGAAGCATTTTTGCCGACACTCTACTCATTTCATACAATTATGAGGGCAAAGCCAACAAAGCTCCACTTCTGGGGCTAAAAACAATAGAATTAGTTTTCGGTAAATATGTTTTAATTGTTTATTTGACTTATTTCAGGAAGTAATGCATTTATATTTTTTCCAACAGATGCGTTTGTGAGTATGCCCAAAATTGACCTCATTGCGGAAATCAGAAAGCACGTGTTCCTAAGCCACAATAGGTACAAACAAATTGTAATAAAAAAAAATGAAACATAATAACAAATCTAACAATAATTAATTTAATTATCATATTATTAATCTCTAAAAAAAAGTAACATAAAAATTTAATAACTTTCCAATCTAAATTTCAAAAACGTTATTTAAATACGGCTATTCGGGATATTTTGTATATCGACTGCGGAGTGGAAGATCGACCTCGGCAGCCAGTTCGAAAATGCCCTATCTCAAAAAACTTTTCAAGAACGCCCTATTTCAGAATTTTATTAAAAAACGCTTCCGAGTTCGGTTCAAAAAGGCCCTATCTCACTTCAAAATGTATTGAAAATGTGCTGAGATAGGACGTTTTTGAAACGAATTCTAAAAAACGAATTGAAAAGTTTTTTGAGATAGGATGCTTTCGAGCTGGCTGCCGAGATAGGTCGATCTTCCACTTAGCAGTTGATATGCTCTTGAATTCTGTATTTGTGGTTTTTGGTAGGTAATGAAGTAAACTTTTATATTGTATTGCTGTAAGAAATTTCACTACATTTTCTACCAAAAACCACAAATACACATGCAAGGGCATATACAAAACATCCCGACTACCTTTATTAATTTGTAAGTAATTGTAAATAGTGTAAAAAGTAAATTTTAACAATAGTTTTTTAATAATTTTATATTAAAATTTGCATACTGGAATTTTAACAACAAAAAACCTACCTACCTACCTATTTATAAAAGCTTAGTAATTAGTAAATGTAAATACATAGTTTTAAACATTTTAACAGCAGAAATAACAATAATTAATTGAATTACTCACTGATCTGATTATTTAAATTAATATTTTATTATTTAATAAATTTTAATACTACATTATTTTGTCATTATGAAAGCGGTCATATTTATGTTTTTAAATATGTTATTGAAATAAATAAATGAATAATGAAAAGATTACTTTTTGTACAATTTACTTAAAAAATGTGGGGTTATAAACACCATAGCACTAACTACTTCAGTAGGTATCGTTAACTACATAGTAACCATAACATTAGAAACTTCAGCAGCTATCTTTAGCTACTTGTTAACCACAACATTAGCCACTTCAGCAACCATCGTTAGTTACATG